AGACCCTTTACCGAGATGCCAAATTAAGCTCAAATTTATTGACGCAATATTGATAGTAGTGGTGAAAATAATTCTGTTCAACAGGAAGTATCATTTTGCTGAAATGATGTACGCACTTCCTGAGGGCATCACAGCCCCAGACTGAGTGTCATCTCATTAGTGTTTGATTTTAAAACCCATCATGTCTATAAAGGGATACACTAATGGCGTCATACGATGAGGCAGAGCGTTTCGTTAGTTGACGCTGGTTTAAGGTGAAAATAGTGACTTTAGCTCCTCCTGCCACTCATTCATCATCATCCTGCCCACTGCAGCCCATATGTAGATTTAGTGTAGGAGGGTGTGGAGGCGGAGCCTTATTTAAACCTTTAAGGACAATTTAAGAGAATAGTTCACCCAAAAATGAAAATTTGCTGAAAATGTACTTACTCTCAGGCCATCCAAGATGTAGATGAGTTTGTTTCTTCATCAGATTTGGAGAAATGTAGCATTGCATCACTTGCTCAGCAATGGATCCTCTGCAGTGAATGGGTGCCGCCGTCAGAATGAGAGTCCAGACAGCTGATAAAAACATCACAATAATCCACAAGTAATCCACACCACTCCAGTCCATCAGTTAATGTCTTGTGAAGTGGAAAGCTGCGTGTTTGCAAGAAACAAATCCATCATTAAGACGTTTTTAACTTTAAACCATTGATTCTGACTAAAATCCTCTAGTCCTCTAGCCATAGTATTGCTTTCTCCAGTGAAAAAGCCATCTTGTCTGAAATAGGAAAACATTATTTAAAAGAAATTAGAAACCATAGTGTAAGTTCAAATTCCTTTGAAATATTTTATGGTCAGCCATAGACAAAAGCTACTACATTAATTTCTGAGTTAGGCCTACTTGATTGAAACATGTTATTTCAACATGAAAACATTGAGTTAAGCCAAAAAGTAGCTGTTTCAAGTCAGTTTAACATGATGCAATCATGTTTGAATGGGATACTTGATATAATGGTGTTAAATCAAAATGAATTGTTTAAATAAAGTGAACAGCATCAAATAAAATCATTTTTTTTCAGTGTGTGTGTGAGAAAGAGAGCAGAAGACACTAGAGGGCAATGTTCCTTCTTCATCCGCGTCTATCATTGGCTATCTTTGGAATAGCATAATACAATAGTGCTAGGGCTGGGCGATATGTCAAAAATATCTTATCGATAATCGCCTTTAAAAATATTGCGATATCCGATAATATCGTCTACCTAAGCCCCACCTCCACCACGCCCCGCCCCGCCCCCGCCGAGACAACATTGCCGACACGCACCATAAACACACACCATGTTCAGTTTGGTCTTAATTATTGCCACAAAGTTTGGG